ATTGTTGCCCTGTCGGGCGGCGAGAGTCTGGTAAAATCTGCAATTTCAGCTCCGCCCAGGAGGGAAACGCAGCTTCGACTGAAGTGCCGCACGTAAAAGCCCTCTCACGCTCGACCAACGAGCTTTGAGATGGCTAGCGCTACGCGCTGTTGCTCGGTCTGGGGCATGGCGGATGCGATGGCCATCTCGACCCCTCTCACCCAGAACAGAAGATAAATGTACATCCTTCCCCTCGAAGACCTTAATGCTCACCATGAACGGCTTAGGGCGGGGAAACTCTTCCGTCACTGACGGTGGCGTCATAGACGCAAATGATGCAGACATCTTATAATGCAGGTGCTCTAGCAGTTTTTTGTCGTAATTTAAAAACGCCTCTAGACGTGCACCTTTCACCTCGGGGTCTTTCGCAGCAAGTTGTTGCACGCCCCCAGGGCCCAGCAATGACATCAGCGTTTTAAGCCCGTTCTGCATGCCCTGGGGCAAACAGAAAAATTGTTCCATCCTCACAGAGGATCCGTCTAAACGACTCAAGTGTAGATTGACTACAAGTGCTACCAAGTCCAGCGGGACTGTTGCAGCTTTGCGCTTTGAGGAAGCGTAAGTTAGGTCGCCGACCTTTCGCTCTATACTTAGAACAAGTACGAGTTTAGCGGATCGCAATCCGCTTACTCCAAGAGAAATTATCGTCTTAACCAAAGGCTAATTAACGCTTCCGTTTGAACCCAAAACTGACTTTATTTTTTTTTATCTGCGGCAAAGCCGCCCGATTTTAAATGTATAGATATTCCTAAATATATATAGAAAAATCAAAATACATGTATAACTACTGGCTACCCAGCCACGTACTGTTATCTTATTTGGGTGCAGTTACACCATGCTCATCTCGTGTGACACACATCCCTGTTACCAGGGTAGGGTTTCACCCTCTGATTCGTCTGACACATGTGCACATATGTGCTCGTCCACTTGTACAGCTTGGTTCACCAATAGTGGCAGCTCACCGAGCTGTACGTCTGCTCACGACTGAGATGATCACTGAGGGATGTGTCGTGGGCCTCATAGAGAATACGGTATTTCAAATCCCCATAATAAGAAACCACATTTATGGCGTATCCGTCGAATTGGTGCTATAATACAGCAACCCGTTATTCAACGAATATCGGCGGAAATGTGCGCGCAATCGTGACAACAACTTCTTGTCCGAGTTTCCAAAATCCTTGCTCCCGAGAGTCCGTAGCAGCGTTGCGCACATATCGACACCCGCGTATGCGGCGCAATCCAAATCCATCACTGACGACGTCACCATCGTGACATGGGCAAGCTCATAATCTGGTCTGCGTGACAACGCATCGGCCAAAACATTCTGCTTTCCTGGCTTATACTTTACGACGAAGTTATATTCGGCAAAGTAGGAGAGCCATTTTGTTATCCTCTGCAAAAAGTGAGGCGACTGAGTCGCAAAGCGTAGTAACGCATGATCTGTGTAGATTACAAACGGCTTTGCGCCGAGCAGGTGCATTATAAACTTGACAAGTGCATACTTCATCGCAAGTTGTGGACTGGATAATTCTTCTCTGTAGCCTAAAGCTGGCGAGATTCGAACACGATCACTCGATCTCGCCCCTCGGCATCTGCTTGCAGCAGTGCACAGCCGATGTCAATTTCAAAGCATCACAGACAACACTACCAGGACGAAAGGGGTCTGGCAACGCCAGTATTCGTGCATGAAGGAGGCTCTCTTGATCCCGTCAGAAGACTCCCGATGCTCGGTTTCTCAACGCCATTCTGTATTCTACTTAAGGAGACTCGACAATGGCCGTGCCATTTCTGCATATTTGCGGTATACTTGTGCAAGTAGTTGACGAGGTCAAGCCACTTGCGCAAGTCTTTTGGTTCGTTAGAACCGTCC